AAATATATTTGCATATGTAATGTTACGCATTCGAAAATATCTGTTGAAATAAAGTGGAATTTGTATTTTGAAATCGTTATTCTTATTTTTAAAAATTCATTTAATTTTGACGAAAATTTAGAATTCTCAAGATATTTACATAAACATACAGATGTTCAACGTATAAATTACCACTTATATTGAACTAATTCCAGCAATGAAATGCAGTGATGTTGTTTACTGTTTTATTTGAGGGGTTGGTTCGTGGATTCGTTGCTGGTTGTGAGGTATGCTGAGAATAGTTCTGATGTCTAACGAAACGATTGCACAGTGGGGATTTAAGTTTTGTCATCATTTGATAAATACAGGATAATTTTCGATAATGAATATTTGGAGTGTTCGAAGCGACATAACATTTATTTGTGATTTTTGAATTTCTTGGATGAATTGAAACTTATTCTCACATGAGACCTGAGCAAAGAACGGAGTGTGAATCCGAAAATGTACGCTTTTTTTAGATCAATGTATTATATACCGAAGCATCAACCTGCGTGTCAAATATTCGGCAATCAACCAGCGAAATCTGATATTATTAGTGATACAAACGATAAAGATGTTGAGAAACGACTGCATATGCTCGGAATTCGAAATTCTGTCATCAATACATTGCCAACAATTTACGAAAATGGTATCTTGTTGTGGTGGACAGGATATTTTCTGCAAATAATTCATCTGACGAGAGTGCATTTCTAAAAACTGAACATTTGTAGGTGTATAGTAGAACTCACTTTATTCATTTAGATAATTAATGAAAAGTTATTTAATATTGTCTGTAATATTTTTAAAAAAAGAATTCATGTTAGAGTTGATGAAACATAATGCTAACTCTGTTTGAATGAGAAATGCGAAACAATCTTTATGAGAAATGAGAAACAATACTGTTTATAAAATTCATGTTAGACGAAAGAATGCTATCTGAATGAGAAGCAATCTTTAAAAAATCATATTCTCCGAAAAGGACATCATGAATTCACGGAAATATTCTCATTTTGGTGATATACTAATGAAAGCAATCAATTTCACCGTCTCCTTCAGAGGAATATGTAAATAAAGACAAAAAATGTGAAGATTTGAGTTTATCTCGTCGCATAGCGTCTTCTGCCGAAGATCACTCATTCGATTTTGAACTCACAGAGGTTAATTAAACGAATCATCGTTTTATTCACTCTGAATCATAAACTTTCACAGTTCAACGACATCTTCAAGCTTGTTTGAGTTGTCCTTTTTACAGGAAAATTTTTTTTTCTATTTTTGATGAGAACATTTACCATTGTTGCTAAAACAGCAGACTCTATGCACACATTCATGCCGTCGTTATCCGAGGTAAGCTGTAGCTAAATATGAAACAAAAACATACGAAGATGGGAGTACACATGAAGTAGTCGTTCAAACATCAACTTATCTCAGTGTTTACTTGAACACTTTCGAGTGTTCTATTGTATTGTATTCTGTCATACTTGAAAAAGAATTTTGAAACGAATATTATAGCGTGATTTATCGAAGCCATCAAAAGAATTCCAGCCGCTGCCTAACGCTGGTAACTCAATATGGGTATGGTTATGGCGTGAATGGCTCGCATATCATGGAAACTGCGCAGTTTGTGACAGACCTTTGAATGGGAGCACAGAGGTTCTTTGTTTTCGTTTTGAGTGCTGCTAAAACATTACATGTGAAAGGAGTGAGTGCAATTACAAATACTGACGAGGAGCCGTAAATGAATAAAAAATTTTAGTTGACTGTTATGAACGCTTGTGCACATGCGATGCATATGGAGTGTGCTGAGGAAATACAAATTAACGTGAGGCAGTGTCCGAAATGTTTTGCAACAATCAACAAAGAACCGAGGAATCGATGCACTCATCTGAGATGTTGCTGCAGAGCGTGAAGTGTTCATTTTCAATTGGTGAATTTCAATCAAGGCTGAAAGAGACGACGATATCATAACAGTCAGTAATATGCCATTCTATGAATGCATTTGCAATTGGGACTATAGAATTTGAGTGTTGAAGAATCTCATTTTGGTTGTTCATTGTGTTATTTCAATCTTCATTTAAAACCATCTGATGATGGTATTTCCGGAAGATAAAAATCGCTGTATATTGTTCACTTTGGCTGACAATATTTGTTGTTTTGAGTGATAGCATCGCGAAGTTATTGCTCATTGTTCATTTGTTATTTATTATTTGCTCTACATAGTATTATTTGTTGCCATCTCGTTGTCATAATAAATCAGTGTTTATTATACGTGCTATTGAGCCACCAAGTCATGTCCTTTCCGTGTACCGATTATGCGAGAAGATTGAGATTGATTTCATGACGTTTAACAATATTACAGTTAGAAATGTGGTGTTTAGCAAGTGCACGATACATGTTGCATGATGGCTATATTCGAGATGTGGTGACAACCAAACATACAGTTCTTTGGCATGAGTCTCAGCCTAGACCTAAGCCTGAACCACAACATTCTGCTTTGCTTATCGCCGTTTGAATTCTACGAACTTACAGAGTTCGATGAAATCCGTTGAACAACGACGGCATTTAATGTGCAATTTATGCGCTGCGAATGGGGCACGAATGAATACGTTGTTTTGCGTTGAAGAATGAAAATAGCGCTCTGAATGGTTTTTTAGTCAGATTGTTTACTTTTCCTTGTTGTGGGTATTCTGCAGTTTTTGCTTCTCATTTTTCGTGATTTGTAAAATTTTCGGTGGTCATTCGAATGTCATTTCATGGTAGAAGTAGCGTTCGCATCAAGTTATTAGGGGTACGTCGGAATGATTCTCGGAAGCTGAATCTGATTGGTGAAAGTTAACGGTTTCAGTGCACTGTGAGTGTGCTAGCATTTGAAGTAATTTTGATTGGCCTGGTAGAATGCACACTATTCATCCGTTGTTTATTGAGCCGTTTTGCTTAAACCTGGATATAATCGTGCTTTTCAATTGTCCGTTTATTGACAGTGATCAACAACAGATAGCCGCCTGCCTATCAAATAAAGGAATATCTACTTTTCTTTGAACAAAATGTGATATTATTGAGAATTTTTTGCAAACGTATGCCATAATAGGTGGACGTTTTTCGTGTTTAAGCGTTGCATATCAAGTTGTTTATCTAGCGACGTACGAAACGAACTCGTTTATGAAATTAGCCACAGAATTTGCAGTTAGATTTCTAATAAATGCTCAGTTGTTATGTCTGGCTTCTCGGAAGCGGCTATGACTAAACGGCTTGAGTCGTTGAACATGACAGCGCAGTCGATACAAACACTATCCATGTGGATACTACATCATCAGAAGCATAATGCTGAAAGAATCGTTCATTTGTGGCTTAAAGTTGGTTAATTTCATTTTAGCGTTAAGTGCGCATATTGTTAATATCGTATGAACTTGATATTGATTGCTTCGTTTTTTCAAAAAATTGAAAGTCAAGCGTAAATTTACGTCAGAGCATCATTTGAAAACCAAAATTCAGGCTTGTTTCGTATATTTTTGTGACTATTTAGATTCAAATGGAGTACAGTAACGAGTGCGAGAAACGTGTAGATTATCATTACCATTTGTTTCTGTAATTGATTGTAATTTTTTCGGGTTTCATTTCACTAGCTGCCACTTCAACGTTCTCTTTACATTTCACTTGTTTTATTTTGTCTTTTCCGTGCATATCCGGTTTGAACATGTCAAACTATTTTAAAAGCAGAAAAAAAATTGTGATTTGTTAATCTGTTTTCGATTGATTCTATGAACTTTGTTGCGGATGGCAAACAACTTTGGAGTTAACGAAGTGACTTTTTCATCTCATTCGAAGCTGTTAAGGTAATGAATTTTCTTGTTGAAGGAAGTGAAAAGAGAAATTCGACCCGCACGTCTCATAAATTTGCTGTACTTGGCGAATGATGTTGTGCAGAACAGCAGACGACAGTGTCCCGATTTCATGGCATTGTTCTATAGCGTTCTCGAACCTGCATTCAAGTGAGTTGTTTTGCGCAGTGATTTTGTTTTATATCGATAAAGCACTTAACTGCAATTGGTTTGTTAAGTAAAATTTGTTTCGCATTGGAACGATACAAACTGGGATGAGATCGAATTCAGTTCAGATGATAACCTATCGTTCAATCGCGACAAAATAAAAATACTCCGCGATCGAATCGTTAGCGGGATAAACTAAGAATTGCAACTCGACTTCAACAAGCTTTTGCTTGATAGTGAATTGAATTAATTGTGAAGTTGGAGAAAATGAACTGGAGTGAGGTAAATGCTTTTTAGACATGTGAGCATGCATGCAGATAGTCAAGCGGTGGTAGCGCTGAAAAAGATCTTACGCGTATTTCGTGAACGTCAAATCTATGCACCACCAAAAATTGATCGTTTGATGTCAGTGGTAACGTCGACACTGACCGGCATTCGTCTGGTTGAATTCAACGTGGATCTTCTCGGGAGTATACCCGGTGACTTATCGTCATCATCGTCCTCGTCGAATGTTCGA